ACATATGCGTATATACATGCACAGAATAAGAAAATGCTGAGCTGAATTCAAAGCTTTGAGCATCAAATATTGCAACTGAAAAAAGTCAAGTCTTATTGCCCATATTAAGTGAAGATGCACTAAGAGGAGTGGAAATAATCTCAAGAGTTAGTGCCTTCTGACCGAAGCAAACAAATAATCCTTGAAAGGAAACATCCTTAATTTGGGTTCCTAGATTTTCACAGATTAAAGTCAATGAAATATAAACTCTCAATCAAAGGTAAACATAGCACAAAGAAATAAACCATTAACATATATCAACAGAAACAACAAATGGCAGAATATAAAATTTCTTTATATAAAAAATGAACAAGCAGAAGAGAATATCAAATAATGATAGAGAAGATTTGGGGAGGAGATGAAAAATAAAATCATTAAAGTCAAAAGTCAAAAGAGTTAAAGTACAGATTAGTCACCGGTGAAGAGAATTAATAAGCTGGAAAACAGATATTAATAAAGTATTCAGAATGCAGTGAGAATGACAAGGAGATAGAAAATATGAAAAATAGATTAATAAATAGGAAAGATATTATTAAAAAGGGAGGGAGAAATATGAAAGAGAGAATACCAAGTTCTAAAACATATCTGGTTGGAGTTCCAAAATGATGAGAAGAAAGGCAATGGAGGAAAGCAATAATTGCAAACATGCTGCTTGATAATTTTCCAAAATAATAAATGACAATTTACAGATAGAGGAAATGCAATGTTGTTGTTTAAACCATATAAAATTGTTGGTCAAATGGTTTAATATTGTTAATTTCATATGGTTCAGACTATATCAAGCTAGATAAACATAGTGTCCCAAAAAATGTATACACACAACAGCTGATAACTCAGTTTTCACTCCGTTTCAGAATTAACTGATCTAAAATAATGGGTGAGACCAGATTAAGCTTTGAACTAAGAAAAGTTATCCTAAAGTGCCACTAGAATTTTTCTTAGGGGGACACATAAAGATAAAGTTACAAAACTGGCAACAGTCAATGAATTGAAGGTACACAAATACCGATAGAAATGATTCTTGATGTTTGCAATTCCACTGTTTCACGTTATCAGCAGTGCCTAGACCAGATAGGTTATCAGTGTGAAAACAGGCACTGATAAAAAAAAAAATTACCCATTTCTGTAGATTCTTTTAAATCTTGAAAATGAATTATATGTTAATGAACACTGATGTTGTAATCATTCAAGGTGTGTATATATTTTGTGGGACATCCTGTATAAAGGAATTTTAAATTCATTGGAATGAAAATGCAAAACGCCAAAGACAAACTATCTTAAAAACAACCTGAGAGAGAATAAATTTCACTTATAAAGAAATGATAATTAAGCTGACATCAAGTTTTTCAAAAGCAAAAATGGAACTCAAATATCAGTGGAACAAATTTTTAAAGTACCAAGAGAAATATTTAAAGTGGTGAGCACATAATGCAATATACATATGCTATATTACAGAAATGTGTACCTGAAACCTATATAATGCTAATAACCAATGTCAACAGAATATATTTAATTATAAAAAAAATGAATGGAAACAACCAAAGTGTCCTACAATAGAGACCTGGATAAAGAAGATGTGGTACATATACACAACAGAATGCTACTCAGCCATAAGTAAGGATGAAATATCACCATTTGCAACAACATAGATGCACCTTGAGAACATTATACTAAGTGAAATAATTCAGTCAGAAAAAGCTAAGAACCACATGATGTCACTCATATGTGGGACATAAAACTGAAACTCGTGAACACAAACAGCAGTATGGTGGCTGCCAGAAGAAAGGGGGTTGGAAAGAAGGGGATCCTAATATATGGTGACAGGAAAAGATTTGATTTGAGGTAGTGGGTATAGGGTACAATATACAGATATTGTAATATAGAAACCCATACCTGAAACCTATATGTTCATGTTGACCAATGTTATGCCAATAAATTAAATTAAAATATGAATTGCCAACCTAGAAATGTTTACCTAGCAAATCTTCATTCAAAACAGAGGCATAAGTTATTTTCATATATGCAAAAACCAGGAAGCATTTACCACCAACAGATATAAAGTAGAGGAACTTTTAAAATTACATACTTCAGAAGGAAGGAACTGATTTTCATCCTGATTGGTAGCAGAACAAGATTGTCAGATGAAAATAAAAACATGTAATATGTTATTTAAAGCTCTAAATACAGACTCAGAAACGTTTTAAAAAATAAAGGGATAAAGATATAACGAACAAATACTCAAAAGTTGAAGTAGCTATTTGAATATCAAAATAGACTTTAAGAAAAATGTATTACTAAGGATGAAGAAGGTAATCAGATAATGTAAAATATTAAATTAATTGGGAAGACTAAACAATTATAAAAGTAAAGTTTGAAAATTACAACTCAAAGCTTGACTTATTAGACTCCATGTACCAACAACTAGATAAACACATTCCTCTCGAGAACACATGGAAAAATTATAAAAATTCAGAACATAATAAGTCATAAAATAAAGTTCAAAGAATCAGTAATATAAAAACAATTTCTAGACACAATACAATTAAATTAGGTAAGAACAGAAGAATCAAACAAATTAGCTCTTTTAAAACACCTCATAACAACTCACAGGTTAATGCAAAAATAATAATGGAAATTAAGATACATAGGACTGCTGAAACCGGTTTGGCTCAGTGGATAGAGCATTGGTCTGTGGACTGAAAGGTCCCGGGTTCCATTCCGGTCAAAGGCATGTACCTTGGTTGCGGGCACATCCCCAGTGGGGGTGTGCAAGAGGCAGCTGATCGATGATTCTCTCTCATCGATGTTTCTAACTCTCTATCCCTCTCTCTTCCTCTCTGTAAAAAAATCAATAAAATATATTATTATAAAAGAAAAAGATACATAGGACTACCAGTAAAAGATAATAAAAATAATCCTATATAATAAAAGCCTAATATGCTAAGTGTCTGGTCATCCAGTAAACCAATCAAAGTATAATATGCTAATGATATCCTAAGGCCACTCAACCGCTCACTATGACATGTTCTGACCACCAGGGGGCAGATGCTCAACACAGGATCTGCCCCCTGCTAGTCAGTGCACTCCCACAGGGGGAGCACCACTCAGCCAGAAGCCAGGCTCATAGTTGCCAAGCACAGCGGCGGCAGCAGTGGCGAGAGCTTTCCCACTCCGCAGCAGCACTAAGGATGTCTAAGCCATCAGTTGGACATCCCCTGAGGGCTCCTGGACTGCAAGTGGGCGTAGGCCAGGCTGAGGAACCACACCCCCAAGTGCACAAATTTTGTTCACTGAGCCTCTAGTACTTGTTATAACTGTGTTAAGATTCAAAACAATAGTGAGAACTATAATCATAAATGCTTATATTATAAAATAAAAATAAAGATGACTGGAATTCACTGGGTATCAGACTCAAAACTGACAAGGGGAGGAAATAGGAGGGATGAGCTGAGAAAACCCAAATAAAGGAAAATAAAAGATTTAATGAAGAGCAGAAGTTAATGAACAAGGACACAAATGATAACAGAGAGAATAAAAAACCCCAAAAGTTAATACTTTGAAAACGTAATAGAGACTGTGAAACTTGTCCAAGAGTGCATGGCTAGTAAATGGAGGAGCCAGGATTTATATCTACACAGTCTGTCTCCATAGTCCAGATTCTTAACTACTGTGCTCTACTACCATAAAAATGCTATGCATAAAAGAAAAGATGGCAATACCTAATTACATTAATCTTTTATTTTAAATAATTTTATTGATTTCAGAGAAGAAGAGAGAAGGAGAGAGAGATAAAAGCATCAATGATGAGGGAGAATCACTGATTAGCTGCTCCTGCACACCCTCTCCTGGCGATAGAGCCCACAACCTATGCATGTACCCCTGACCAGAGTCAAACCTGGGACCATTCAGTCCACAGGCTAATGCTCTATCCACTGAGCTAAACTCTCTAGGGTTGATTAAATTAATCTTAATGATATCTATGCATCATAAATACTATAAGGCAAGATATACATGAGACATATAACAGAAAAGATTAGTGTTCAGAATATATTAAACTTCAATAAGAAATCAATAAGAAAAAGACAAATGGGCAAAAGACACTAAGAAGCATTTTCCAGAAGGCAAACAAATAACCAATGACCGTAGGAGAAGACATTCATAAGTAATCTGGATAATGCAAAATAAAAACACAATGTGATATAATTACCAATTTGCACTTTGTAAAGTATATGATTGGCTAAACACTATGCTATATACCTAAAACTTATAAAAAATAATATTGAATATAAACTGTAATTGAAAAATAAAATGTAAAAACACAATGTGATGGTATTTTATGTAAGATAAATTGACAAAAATTAGAAAATATTGGCAAAGATGCAGAGCTGTGGGAATTCTGACATACTATTAGGGGAATGTAAACTGATACAACTCTCTGGAGAAATAACTGGGCACTATCGTAAATGAACATTCATATATCTATCCCCTGTCTCAGAAATTCCACTCCTAGGTATGTATCTTAGAGAAACTCCTGACTATGTATATCCTGAAACACATACAAGGATGTTAATAAAAGCAAAAAACTTGAAATATCGGGTGTCCATCAATAGAAAAACAAAAAAATAAATAAATTGCGCTATATTTACAATATATAATTCCCAATGTATAGCAATGAAAATAAATTTACTATAATTATACACAAGGATGATACTATGAAACATAATATTGAGTGGAAAAAGAAATATACAGTATGATTCTATTTTTAAAGTTCAAAACAGACCAAACTGAATATATCATTTAGGTAGTAAGTAAGTATGCAGGGTGAATGTTTATAAAAAATAGAACAATAAAGTATATGTTTGAAAATACTAAATCTTGAGTAAATCTAATGTTTGTCTAATTTTCATCCTTTATTCAAGTGTCACCTTAATAAGAAACCAAGGAACCAATGGCAGTCTTACCTGCAGAAACACTGAGGGAGCTCCCCTTGGCCATATAAAGGAAACAAAAAAGGAGTGTTGCCATAGCGCCCGAGACAGTGAAGAAAGTTTTTGATAGCTTTGAGTCCATCTAAGGTACTGCTGGTTGACTTCGGTGTCATTGCAATTGAATACAGAACAAAATGTTGGAGGTTCGGAGTTAATTTTTGAGTTTTTAAATATTCAGAAAATGTAATCTCCTCATAGGCTATGAAAACAAAGATGAAAATTTATCAAAAATCAGAACTAAATTTCAACTTAAAACTATTAAACAAAAAATGAGATCAAGTCTGTATAAATACTTGTCAAAGAAGATGGGTGGCAATATTACATTTTGGACAAAAAACAATGATTTGGGAGTACTGGGGACTAGAAATATAATATCAACTGGATTGATGGTACAATTTTTAAACTTTAAAGGATGAAACTTTATTTAATATTTTACAGATTCAAAAAGTAGAAAAGCATTAAAAAACTTATTAACCATCACAACTGCTTTCTGAGGTTGATAGTAAGGTTACCTCACTATATCATTAAAACTGCAGAAACACACACACACACACACACACACACACACACATTTAAAAAAAAGACAACAGTGTGAAGATAGTGAGAGGGAAAGTAGGGTGGAGAATAGATGGAGTTGGGAAAAGGGGGGCAGGGAATGGGAACAGAGAGATTTTGCTTGGAGCAATGGACACATGATGCAGTTTGTAAATATGTTGTTGAGCTATATATATCTGAAATTTGTATAATTTTGTGAACAAATGTCACCCCCAATAAATTCAATTAAAAGATGAAATAAAACTGCAGAATAACACCAATAATTGTATTTTGAAATATTAAATATAACAAATGAGCAAGTTTTTGATAAAAATAATAATAGAGCAGTACTTGATTTATTGAAATATATATACTTTTATTAAATCTAGGAACAGTGAACTTAATAAAGTAATGAAATTTAATTTCTTGATGGCTAGTGGAAATGATTTTACTGCCTTATAATCACACCACAAAAGATAAGAGACTCCTGAAAAATTCCTTTAGACCAGGGGTGGAGAATTTCCAGTCCGCAAGCCATGTAAGGATGACAAAATCATTTGATCTGGCACCGTAAGGCATTAGGGGTGAATTAATTAAATGTTTGACCAAATATAGCAGACTTATTTTTAAGTTGAGAATTTTGCATGGCCCTCGAATGAGGTTATAAATATCCAAATTACCCTTGGCAGAAAAAAAGGTTCCTCAATCCTGTTAAAACAAGAACAGAAAAAATATAATTGGACTGTTAGTCTTAGAAAATATAATTCCATGACAAAACACAAAAAACTGCCGAAACCGGTTTGGCTCAGTGGATAGAGCGTCGGCCTGCAGACTGAAAGGTCCCAGGTTCGATTCCGATCAAGGGCATGTACCTTGATGTTTCTCTCTCTTCGATGTTTCTAACTCCCTATCTCTCTCCCTTCCTTTCTGTAAAAATCAATAAAATATATTTAAAAAAAACTTTATAGAAATTGTTTATGTAAACAAAAATTATAACATTTACTGAGAGAGTATGTTTACATCACTATGAGAACAATTTGGCAGTATCTAATGGACCTGAAGCTGTAAGAGCAAAAGCTACATTTTTTAAAAAACGTTGTATTTATTGAGGTGACATTGGTTCACAACAGGTTTCAAGTGTTCAACTCAACAAAACATCATCTGCATATTTATTAAAAAATATTGCTATAGTTCTCATTATAACTTTATAGATGAATTGTCGATGGTATGTTCTTACTTTAGAAAACTTTTCTATCCTAATGCCCTTAAAGTGTAAAGCTCTGTCATTAAAGTGATACATTCAATTTTCAACAAACTGTGAAGTAACTGGCCCGAGATCACACAGTGAGATGGGTCAAAGCTAAGACCAGAAACCACATATTCTCCTAATCCAGTGGTTTCCACCATGTCATCTAGGCTTTAAAAAAACTCAATCAAAAATAAATAATTCAATATTCTATGCACAGTAATACTATAAAAATGAAAAAACTATATTTTTTATTACTGATGAAAAACATGAATGATACAATGCAAAAGAATACAGTATTCTCTCCCTTATCCATTGATCTGTTTTCCATGTTTTCAGTTACCCACAATCAACTGCAGTCCCAAAAATATTAAATGGAAAATTTCAGAATTAATTTATAAATTATAAATTGCACAGTTTTCAGTAGCTTGTGATGAAAGCTTGTGATATCCTGATCCACTCCACCTCATTCCACCCTGGACAGGAATCAGCCCCCTTGTCCAGCATATTCACACTGCATACACTGTGAGTTATTCATTCAGTCAGTAGCCATCTCAGTTATCAGATCAAACATCTCAGTATCACAGTACCTATGTTCAAGTAACTCTTATTATCCTATATAATAAAAGGCTAATATGCAAATCGACCAAATGACAGAAAGACTGGTCGCTATGACATGCCCTGACCACCAAGGAGCATACATTCAGTGAAGGAGCTGCCCTCTGGTGGTCAGTACGCTAATGGCTAATCAGAAGGCCTGAGCCAGGTTTACAGCCTCTCCCACCTCTGAGGCAATGCTAAGGATGTCTAATTGATGGCTTGAATTTCGTGCACTGGGCCTCCAGTACTTAATAATAGCAGTGACACTGGCAATTTGTAATCAAAGAGTAGTCATAAAGTGTGTATATGCATAGAAAAACCTAGTGTATATACTGTTCGGTACTATCTGCAGTTTCAGGCATCCACTTGGGGTCTTGGAACATATGGGGGGACTACTCTATCATCTACAAAAAACCAGTTGTCAACAATATTTAATTAGCAAGAATAAAAATTAATACACAGCACAGTGTTTCTTCAGTGATAAAATATTCCATACCATCACTGCAGCCACAATAGCTACTAACTATATTTGGCGATTGATACTTGAAATATGGCTAGTGTGACTGAAGAACTGAATTTTACATTTTATTAATTTTAACAGCAACATGTTGCTAATGGCTATTCTAATGGACAGTGCACAGTAAGAATGTATTTTAAGAGAGTAATAAATGGCTCACTACAATAGGGCAAACACATTAAAATAATAAGAAAGCTTAAATAATTATAGAACACAATTAAATGAAAAAGAATACCTTTATATTCACCGGGATGTTTCTCATGCTCCATACAAAATGTAAGAAACTTCATTAGCATTGCTTTTCTACCATAGTAAGTTGTTTACTATTAAAGACATCTGCTCTCGAACAAGGAACCTGAAATACATGGTTTTAAGTTAAGAACATGTTTCTTAGTGATAAACAAGTATTCCAAAAAACATTTTTTTTCATTTAAGTATAACAAGATTATTTCCATTCTAGCCAGGCTATATCACATTACCTACCTTCAGTTCCAATAACACCTCTGTTGACTCCAGAGCTAATTAACTTGTAAGCTCTCATACTTTAATTTATCAAGTTACTCCTTATGTCATTAAAAGGCCAACAGTGGCTGTATAGTTGCCTCTCCTCTTCCCTCCCCACCAAGTGGTAGGTGGAAATAGGAAAAGTAAATGAGTGTGATGAAGAAGTAATAGCCCAATAGATGGAAAGGAAACCAGAAATAGTAACAGACCCAAGAATGCTAGGGTTTTCCTCTGAGCTGATGATCAGCGAAAGAAGAAAGAAGTCTATGCATAAGTGGCCTTCAGTGAGAGAAGAGCTCCCAGGAATCTCCATTTAAGAAACTCGCGGAAACCGGTTTGGCTCAGTGGTAGAGCGTCAGTCTGCGGACTGAAAGGTCCCAGATTCGATTCCGGTCAAGGGCATGTACATTGGTTGCGGGCACATCCCCGGTATGGGGTGTGCAAGAGGCAGCTGGTCGATGTTTCTCTCTCATCGATGTTTCTAACTCTCTATCTCTCTCCCTTCCTCTCTGTAAAAAATCAATAAAATATATTTTAAAAAAATAAAAAAATTAAAAAAAGAAACTCCCAAGGATCTCTAACTACCTCTCTCCTTGTAGGATTTTGACATTGCCGAGCAATTTGACTCCATGATTCCTGATGCAGAGTGCCTAAAGATCATGTGTGAGATCCTGAATTCATTTCAGATAGGTGACTTCCTGGTCAAGGTGAATGATAAGCACATCCTAGATGGGATGCATACAATCTGTGAGGTTCCTAATACCATCTGTTCATCAGTGGACAGGCTGGACAAGGTGTCCTGGGAGGAAGTAAAGAACGAGATGGTGGGAGAGAAGGGCCTCACACCTGAGGTGGTTGACTGCACTGGGGACTTCATTCAGCAGCATGGTGGGATATCCCAGGTGGAATAGCTGCTTCAGGATCCTAACTATCCAAAAACTAGCAGGCCTTGGAAGGCCTGGGAGACGTGAAGCTGCTGTTTGAATACTTGACTCTTCTTGGCACTGCTGATAAGATTTCCTTTGACCTGAGCCTTGCTCAGGGACTGGACTACTATACTGGGGTGACCCATGAAGCTGTGCTGCTACATACCCCAGCTCAGGCAGGGGAAAAGCTCCTCGGTATGTGCAGTGTGGCTGCTAGAGGGCGCTATGATGATCTAGTGGGCATGTTTGACCACAAAGGGTGCAAGTTGCCTGTGTGGGGCTCAGCATTGGAGTGAGTAGATCTTTACCGTGAAACTGAGGCTACAGGTACTGAAGAAGAAGGTATGGACCAAAGAGAGACAGGTATTTGTGGCATCTATACAGAAGAGCTATTAGAGGAAAGACTGAAGCTTGTCTCAGAGCTGTGGGATGCAAAGATCAAAGTAGATGTCTAAAGAGAAGACCTTGTGAAGGAAATTAAAAGGAGAATAAGCCAGCCCCTTTGCATGTGCTGAATTGAGAAAACTACGAGAGGAAAGTGGACAGGCACTATTTAAGGCTAAGACAAAACTCTGAATATGTACTTCAATAGCTTTGCATACTTCCAGTGGGAAATCTGAAGAGTAGTCAAAACAGAGACTTTTTATTTTTATTATGATTATTTTATTGGTAATTATACTGTGCCATTTTTCATAGGAGGCCCTGGGGGCTCAGGGGCTACAAGGACTGAGACTGAGATGGTCTCCTCTGCAGGGCACTACCCTAGGGGCAGACTGCTCCCCACACCAGTCACCAAAGGTGCAATAAAATATCTTAACCACTGTGGGGGTTTGGGGAAAGGTCAATGGCATGTCATCCCTAACTGGGAACAAATGACATCTCAAATCTAGCAATGTTGTCCAAAATTAACACTTTCTCAATACCAAGATCAAGTTCCTGAAGATCTCCTAAGAAAATTAACACATTTTAATTGAGAAATTTCTTAATATTTATATTTGTAAATCATCATGCAAGACTGGGATTTTCTGCTTTACCAGGAAAATAATCTTGCGTTACTCATCCTTCCAAAGCAAACCATAATAAATTAAATTCATATCCAGTTACAATACTTGATCAGCACAGTACCTGTTCCACTCTTCCTTCTCGAAATGCAAGAATCCTGGTAATATTTTTGAACTCTGCATAGTGACTGACATTAGATTTGATTAGAAGATCAATAAGCAATCCTCGAGAATACAGCAGCTGAACAAAGAAAATATTTTTGAGGATGAACTAAAAGGTAAAAGTGGAAAAATTGATAACTATCAAATAAAGATATATAATTTTATTACATTTTAAATTACTTGTTAAAAGCGTTATACATATTAATGTTTTAATACGTAACATATTATAGGCTCACAATTATCTGAAATTCAAAATTGAAAAACCTCTGGACTTCTAAGTTTTTTCATAACTGGTTTGGCAACAAAACCTGACCCAAATGGATAGAAGGCTCTTCTTTCTACCTTTCTCTCACTTAATGTGAATATTCATACAACTGATGGCAGAAATATTAATATGTTCAACTAAAGACTGCCTCCTCAGACCCTATATATGAATATTACATCATATATAGCATATCAGCATTTATACTATATTACTTTCTAAAATACATATTTTATTACATTTATTGGGGTGACATCTATAATAATAAAACTTTAATATGCTAATTAGACAAGATGAAGCCGGGGCTGCAGAAAACCTGGGCCATGGGGGCCTGCTGGCAGTAAGAATGAAGCCTGTGTCCTGGATGACAGGGAGAAGCTGGTGCCAGCAGCCGGGGGAAGGAAGGCCTACTCTTGCATGAATTTTGTGCATCAGGCCTCTAGTTGATTAATTAAATCATATAGGTTTGTAGTGTAAAATTCTGTAATATATCATCTGTATATTGTATTGTGTGTTCACCACCCAAAGTCAAGTCTCCTTCCATCACCATTTATTCTTCCTTTACCCTCTTCTATCTCCCGCTGGCTCCCTTTCCCTCTGGTAATCACCATTCTATTACTTGTGCCTATTAGGTTTTGTTTATGTTTAATCTAAAGTACATATTTTTAAATCTGAATAACAGAAGACAACAGGCCCCAAGGGTTTTAGATAAGGAATTGAAGCTCTGTAAGGCCAGGTAGTTAGTTATTAAGATGAAACTAGCTCCCTGAACTTCCTCATCATCCTATATAATAAAAGGGTAATATGCAAATTGACCGAACAGCAGAACAACCAGTCACTATGATGTGCACTGACCACCAGGTGGCAGACGCTCAATGCAGGATCTGCCCCCTGGTGGGCAGTGTGCTCCCACAGGGGAAGCACCACTGCTCAGCCACAAACAGGACTGAAGGCTGGCAAGCCTGGCACAGCTACAGTGGTGGTGGGAGTGGCAAGAGCCTCCCCCTCCTCTGCAGCAGTGCTAAGGATGTCCTACTGTGGCTTAGGCGCGCTCCCCCTAAGCTGTCAGGTCAGTCAGACATCCCCTGAGGGCTCCCAGACTACTAAAGGGTGCAGACCAGGCTGAGGGACTCCCCCCCCCCACCCGCCAGTGCATGAATGTAATGCACTGGGCCTCTAGTAAAAAACAAAAAAGTTGATTATGCATTTCCACCAAAAGAGAAAAAGTATAAGATCCCTCTGTAATCCCAACAGTCTAGATTTATCTGAGATATGTCTTTATCAAGAGTTTATTGCCAGCATTCATGTGAAGGATATATTTCATCTTTTAACATCTCTCATAATCAATATCAGAGAAACAAAAACAATTTTGATAGTATTAAATAGCAGACTTTTTAATATATATATATATATATATATATATATATATATATATATATATTATTAATTTCAGATAAGGGAGAGAGAGAAAAACATAATGATGAGAAAGAATCATTGATTGGCTGCCTCCTACACACCCCACACTGGGAATCTAGCTCGTATGCCCTGACTGTGAATTGAACCCTGACCTCCTGGTTCATAGGTCGACGCTCAACCACTAAGCCACACTGGGTGGGCTTAACTAGCATGTTTTAAATTTAACCATATGATTAAATGCCACAGATTTTGCTATTTTCTATATTGAGATACCATTAAGTGAGTATAACTAAATAAATATTAAAATTTTAAATGTTATATCTATAATAAGGAAAATAAAATTTTAAAAATTAGCTTTACTTCAAAGAAAAAGGGAATTTCTAAATCAATCTAAATCATTAGTCTGAGTAACGAAGAGACCAGTAAAGAATTTGTTAATCAATTATTAGTTAGGTGAATTTTTATAAACTATGCACTATATTAGTCAAGCATTGGGCAGAACAAACAAAATTGGCATTTTTTTTAAACAAATCCAATTTCCTGACTAAATTATGGCATGTTACTCCATTAATTTTAGCCCAATATACTACACAACTGATATAAGCCCATGTTTTAGATACTGTATTGCCAAATCTTAATTTTATAATTGTAGTAAAAGGGATGCTTCAAATAACTTATTTGTTTAAAAATACTTGAGATTCAATGATCCCTCAGTAGTCATAATAATTTCACAAACATTAATATATCTAACAAAATGTATGTACACTTCATGAGATCTAATAAAGCTTAAGATTTAATGTGAGCTTTAAAAATAATGCCTTTTAAGATGTCACTCAAAAGGTGATGTCAGAAGAATGGTGGCATGAAAGAGCCCTTTGTCTTCTCACCTTGAAATTTCAACAACTTAACAAACTATAATTCAACAAAGCCATCCCTGCTCAACACAGATGCATGCCTGAGGTACCTGCACACTGAAACCTATAAAGGTGGGTAAAGGGGAAGATGAGAAGGGAGAAAAGTACAGATGGCCCCCAGATGCAGTCCTGCAGCTGGGAGCTAGCAGCTTGGCCTGCTGGGATAGTGGAGGAAGCTGACAGTAGCAGGAACAGAGGCAGGGGGCAGGGATAGCTGACCAGTGGCAAGGGAGCAAATAGTGTCTGAACCAGCAGACTCTGAAGAGACTAAGCAACAAGGAAGAGAAAGTGTCTGAGTCAGCAGGCTCCTGACAGAGCCCATGGTTCTGCTGTGTGACTTTCTACCATTAGGCTGGCGATCATGTTTCAAAGAAATGGAACCACAGAGCCCGCATGGAATCCCCAAACTCAGCCTTTGCCTTTGGAGTTGGATTAGGAACATATTATCGGTAAACCAAGAGCTATTGCAGTAGAACCGCTGTATTCCTATGTGGTAGACCCCCAGTTGTAGTGCTTGGGACAGGACTCATGGAGGTCAGGGTCACCATTATGATGAGAGCAAACTAAAACCAACCCTAAGCAGCATGGCTGTAGTATCTTAGGAAAGCTGCAGAGGTTCATGACTGGGAGCTTACAGAGGTAAAAAATCTGGCAACTCAGCACCAACTACTAGAAAAAGTAGATCTCTTTAGAGATAAATGTGTAGGCAAAGGGGAAAGTAAATACCATGAATAACCATAGAAACGAGATGACCAGAAAGAAAATGAAAAATATCCAGAAAGTAAGCTGGAACAGATAGAAATATGTAATATAAATGACAGATATTTCAATATTGCAGTTCTAAATATACTAGACGAGATATGAGAAACTACTGACAGGAAATTCAATTCACTCAGAAAACAAATCAATGAACAAAACAAGTATTATACTGAAAAGACTGAAATTTTAAAAAAGAACCAAACAGAAATCCTAGAAATGAAGCGTGCAATTAAGAAGATTTAGAGTGAACTACAATATTTAGCATAGAAAACAGAGCCAACCAGATGAAGGAAAGAATTAGTGGTGTTAAATATAGGAGTCTAGATATGATGCAGAAGGAAGAAGAGAGAGACCTGGGGCGGGGGGGCCTGAAAGAGTTTTTACAACTATCTAACTCTATCAGAAAAAGCAATATTAAAATTATAGGCATTCTGGAAGAGAAGGAGAGGGGGCATAGAATGGAGAGTCTATTAATATAAATAGTTGATGAGAAGTTTCCAAACTTATAGAAAGAACTACATCCACAAATCCAAGAAGCAAACAGAACACCTAGTTACCACAATCCAAAAAGGCCCTCTCTATGGCACTGGGTATTAAAGCTGTCAGAAATAAATGACAAAAAAATAAATAAAAATCTCAAGACAGCTATGTAAAAGAAGAAAGTGGTCTACAAAGGAAAACACATCAAAAGTTCATCTGATTTCTCAACAGAAATTCTACAAGCCTGAAGAGAGTAGAACCAAATATTCAAATGTCTGAAAGAGATAAATTACCAGCCACAAATAATATATCCACCAAAATTATACTTTAAATAAATATGAAGGAGAAACAGAGATATTCCCATACATACAGAAACAGATGGATTTTATCACCAGAAAACTTCCATTGCAGGAAATACTCAAGGGATTTATTCTATCCGAAACAAAGAATATAAGGTCACACACAACACTGAAAGTAAGATTACTAAAATACTTAAAGCATAAAGAGGGATAATTTGTGACAACAAAAACATAAAAGGTAAACTAGCAAAAGAGAATGAAGATCAGAGGTACTCAAAAGAAAAGGAAAAAAAAAGCTAGTTTATTTTTTATAAACCTAAAGGTAACCACACAAATATTAACAAAACAGGACACATAGCTTGAAAAGGGGGGGGGGGGGGCGGGGAGGGGAACAGCGGAAATAAGTATGCCATCAAACAAAAACAAGATACACAAAGGAAAAGAACCAATGGAGGCAGGGAGCTACCAGAAAAAAATAATAATAAAATGGCTATAGGAAATCCTCTTACATCAATAATTATCCTAAATATAAATTATCTGAATTCCCCAATAAAGAGGCAGAGAATAGCAGAGTGGATCAAAAATCAAAACCCTACAACCATATGTTGCCTACAAAAGAAATGATAGGCACCCAAATAAAGAAGAACAAAATCAAACTGTCATTTTTTGTGGAAGACATGATTCTGTACACAGAAAACCCTAAACACTCCAAAAACAAACAAATAAACAAACAAAAACTATTAGAAACAATTAAAAAATACAGTCAAGTTGCAGGATTGAAAACTAATATGCAAAAATCCACTATCTTCCTATATAAAAACAAAACTTCAGAAAAAGAAATGAAAAGAACAATTCATTTTGCAATTGCAACCAAAAGAATAAAATAACTAGAAGTAAATGTAATAAAGAACACGAAAGACCTATATACTGAAAATTAGAAGGAATTATTAAAAGAGATTATAAAAGACACAACAAAATGGAAAAATATTCCATGTTCATGGATTAGAAGAATCAACATAGTTACAATATCCATATTACCCAAAGCAATATACATACTTAATGCAATCCCCATCAAAACTCCAATGTCATTTTTTAAAGAAATAGAACAAGAAATCATCAGAGCCACCATAGAATCCAAATAGCCAAAGCAATTCTGAGAAAAAAGAACTGAGCTGGAGGTATCATACTACCTGATTTCAAATTACACTACAGAGCAGTAATAATCAAAACAACAAGGTATTGGCAGAGAAATAGACATACAGGTCAAATAATACAGAATAGAGAGCCAAGGTATAAAACCAAGTGTATATGAGCAGATAATTTTCAACAAAGGAGCCAAAAACACACAATGTAGTACATATAGTCTCTTCAATAAATGGTGCTGGGAAAACTGGAAATCCATATGCAATAGAATCAAACTAGATTACAGTTTGTCCCCATCTACAAAAATTAATTCAAAATGGATCAAAGACCTAATCTAAATATAAGACCCAAAACAGTAAGTTACATGTAAGAAAATATAGGTACCAAATATATGAACCTTGGTTGTAGACAACATTGTATGAACTTGACCCCAAAAGCAAGGGAAATAAAGGCAAAAGTAAATGAATGGGACTATATCAAACTAAAAAGCTTCTGCACAGCAAAAGAAACTGGCAACAAAACAAAGAGGCAGCCAACCAGATGGGATATGATACTTGCAAACAGTAGCTCCGACAAAGGTTTAATTTCCAAAACATATAAAGAAATCATAAAATCAACACCAAACACACAACCCAATCAAAAAGTGGGCAGAAGATCTGAAAATGCACCTCTCCAAGACATACCATCCAAGCAGTCAATAGATATATGTAAAGATGTTCAACCTAACTGGCTATTAGGGAAATGCAAATCAAAACTACAATGAGATACCAACTCATACCTGTTAGAGTGACCATTATCAACAAAACAAGCAATATCAAGTGTTGGACAGATTGTGAAAAAGGGAACCCTCATTCAGTGCTGGTAGGAATGTAGAATGGTGACAACCACTACAGAAAGCAATCTGGCAATTCCTCAAAATTTTGACAATACAGTTAACCATAGGACACAGCAATTTCTCTCCTGGGTATACACAGGAAAAACTCAAAATCATATATTCACAAAGTCATATGTATCCTTATGTTCATTGCAGCATTATTCACTATGGCTAAGACAGGGAAACAACCAAAGTGTCCTGCGGTAGGTCTAGATAAAGAAGATGTGGTACAAATACACAACAGAATACACTGACCTAACATTAGAGTTAAAACAGTCATATGAAAGGATGAAATAATGACATTTATAACAACCTGACCCTTGAGAACATTACACACCTTGAGAACATTATGCTAACTGAGAAATCAGTCATAAAAAGCTAAAAACCATATGACTTCACTCATATGTAGGATATATTGTAAAACTGAAACTCATGAACACAAGCAGTGTGATGGTTGCCAGAGGGAAGGGGATGGGGGGGAAAGGGGTAAGAGTCCTAATATATGGTGGCAGAAGATTTGATTTTGGGTAGTGAGCACATGATATAATATACAAATCTTGTAACATAGAAAACCACACCTTATACCTCTATGTTCATGCTGACCAATGTTACCCCAATAAATTTAATTTAAAAAAAGATAGCACTCAAGAATAAAAATACATTTAAATTAAAACTATTCTAAACTTTTGTCTGAAGCTTAGAAATACTGAATATGTTACCATATTTAAACTTAAGCCTTTTTTTTCACCACTCTCTAATGCTCTACCATAGCAATTTCACAGTGGTGAGAGGCTAAAGTATATTTCAATGTTATTAAAATAATGGGTACTAGATTTAATAATTAATGATTTTTACTTCCCATGGACTGTTGCTTCCATTGGGGTACAGATATTCTTAGAAATGAGTTTTAATTGTAAGGACTTCATCTTTGTTTATCTTGTCTATTAGTCTAAGCCAGTGGTTCTCAACCTTTCTATTGCCGCGAACCTTTAATACAGCTCCTCAAGTTGTGGTAACCCCCAACCATAAAATTATTTTCGTTGCTACTTCATAACTGTAATTTTGCTACTGTTATGAATCATAATGTAAATATCTGTGTTTTCTGATGGTCTTAGGTGACTGTGCTAGCATTTCTCAACCTGTGGGTCTCGACCAACAGGTTGAGAATCGCTGCTATAGAACCATCTTGTGTTATGGTCAAGGCAGAAATTGACGGGGGATCTCAGACTGTGCCCCCTGACTGGTAGGGCTATGGCCTGAGGTCCCCTGCCCCAGCCCAGTGCCAAGCAGCCTCAGGTCCCTGCTGATTGCTCATTAAGGCTCATTATGGGAACTTGGCCTCTGCTGTGGGTGTGGTCATCCTGTGTTATGGAAATCATACCTCTGCTGTGGATGCCACCATCGTTTTGATAGTGTGATGGTCAATTTGCATATTCCCCCTTTATTAGGTAAGATAGGTTTCATGTTTAGTCTTCTATGTTACAAGATCTGTGTGTTGTCTGCCTTTTCTCACTTTCTTATTGGTTGCCCTCAACTTATAGGACTTAGTCTCTTTAATTTTCACTTGGTCTTTAAATTTTCATTCAATCCTATAGCTTAACTTTTTAAGACCATTATCCTTTATCTTACTAGTTTTCTATTCTTTTGTACTAAATTAGCTTTGCTTTCTATAAATCCAATGCAAACCTGTACCCTCCTAATACTAAGACACTGACCTAACATTAGAGTTAAGGATGGAAACAACCAAAGACATTCTTCCCAGCCTCTCTGACCCCACTTTTATTAAATTATACCTGAACAAATGATTTTCAAAAAGGCATTGGTTTTTTAAGAATGTTTATTACCACATAGATGTTAAAAAAGTTACTATATATACGGGCTAAAAAAAAGTTCACTTAGGATTGACTATAAATAACATGAATCTGAATTAGGATCATTAGACTTTTCCTCTTGATAAAATTCAAATCCATACAGTAGGAGAGTATTAGGGTAGAATTATGCTCTAGTACAAAAGTACCCTTGCAATATAATACTGAGCATTTTTAATAATTTTAACCTATATGTAAAAATATTTAATGGAATTAAAAATCCTCTTGACTATTACATCTTTAGAAAAAAATGTTCTACACTTCACAGAAGAAAAAAAATTACAAAAATTGTGTTCATGGGCCAAAATACTATTTTCAATCAACTGAAAATTAGTACTGTTCTATGACAAAAAGGGCAAAATTGGTACTTACCTTTTATACCAAATCAATATTAAATTTCCTGCCTTCTTTAACAATTTGTGAGTAAGTAATCCTATTTTTCTTTGGTTGGTTTGCAATGTCTTCTACTATAGGCACATTTTCACTTGTTCCCTCTTCTGAAGTTGACCGCATACAAGTTTTATCATCACAACAGTTTTCTTTCACCCTGGTCATTTCAACATCATTTACTTGTAGGGCACTCCCTGAAGTTTGTTCTGTGAGCACTTCACCGCTCACAGTGCTTAATGACTCATCTTGTGTAGGAAGGCAGGCAGAGTTTGTAGCTTCTGTGGAGTTCACAGATGTCACTGAAGAGTGATTTTTCTGCAGTGCACCAGCCTCTTCAACACCTTCATGCAAATCCTGACTAATAAGAAATTATAATAACAATCAATACCACATTTTTAAATAATTGTATTTGGTTGCATTTTTATATTTTAACTTGTAATGACAATTTTTATTCCTTTACCCCATTCAACCTTATCAAGTTCACTGTATGTTTTGCCTTCTGTGAACCACACATTAAACATTAATCTGTTCAGGTTTCAATACAATGTGAAACATAATTAAGATTTATGACTCAGTGGTTGAGCATTGAAGTATGAACCAAGAGGTCACAGTTTGATTCCTGGTTGATTCCAACAAGCCTGGGTTGCTAACTCAATCCCCAATAGGGGCAGACAGGAGGCAGCTGATCAATGATACTCTCTTATCATGGATGTTCCTACCTCTCTTTACTTCTCCTTTCCTCTCTGAAATCAATAAAAATATATTAAAAAATACTTGAAAAACACAAATATTTCAGTGGTTAGCAGACTGTATCACAGTGCATTTTAAGAATTGTGTGCATACATATGGGCCTAGCCAGTGGCCATGGACAATGGGGGTTGGGGGGGGCATATCTAGGGAGGGGCTTGAGATGGGAATGGGGGAATAAGGACAATTATGTGAGACCATAATCAATAAAAAAATTTAAAAAATTAAAAAAATAATAAATTTAAAACAAAAAATTAAAAATAAAATCATTTGTCCACCTGTGTGTGGGGGGGGGAATTATTTTGCCTTTTTAAAAATTTCCTTTTCATTAAATTTATTGGGGTGACACAATTACACAGGTTTCAGTTATAAAATATAATTCATCATCTGTACACTGTATTGTGTGTTTACCATCCCAAGGCAAGTCCCTGTCCATCACCATTTATCGCCCTGACACCCTCCTCTATGAGCCTCCTCTGGGCAATCACCACACTGTTGTCCTTGTACAGGAGTTTTTTCCCTTTTAAAGCAGACAAGTGAACGCTATTTTTTAATCAAATCAAAATAATGCTCAAGAACTAATAGCAACTCACACATTAGAATGGCTATTATCAACCAGACAAGAAATAAGAAGTGTTGGAGATGTCGTGGGGGAAAAAAAATGAGCCCTCATTCACTGGAGGTAGGAATGTAAACTGGTAGAGCCACTATGGAAAACAGTATGGAGTTTACTCACAAAATAAAAAAAATAGAGTTACCATATGACTCAATAATTCCCTGTCTGGTTATCTATGAAAAAAAATTAGAAAACATTTACCTGTAAATATACACACCCCTATGTTCATTGCTGCATTATTCAGTGACTAAAACATGGAAACAATCAAAGTGCCCTTCAATAGAGGTACATAGAACATATGGTACATATATACAATGGAATGCTACTTAGCCATAAGAAAAGATAAAATGCTACCATTGCAACAACATGATGGACCTTGAGAATATTATGCTAAGTGAAACAAGATAGTCAGAAAAAGCTAAGAACCATATGATTTCACTAATTTGTGGAACATAAAACTGAAACACACAAACACAGACAACAGTATGGTGGTTACCAGAGGGAAGGCGGTGGGGATAGAAATGGATAAAGGGAGCCAATGGTGTCAGAAGATGATTTCACTGTGGATGATAGGCACACAATGCAATAAACAGATCATGTATTACAGAAATGTACACTTGAAATCTATATAATTTTATTAACCAATGCCACCACAACAAATTTAATCTACACTAATAAAAGAGAAACATGCAAATTAACTATCACTCCAGTACACCAAGCCACATTCACCAGCCAATCAGGAGTGACTATGCAAATTAACCTAACCAAGATGGCAGCCATTCATGGAGCTGAAGCAAGCAGGATGTTTGGGTTGCCCCCGGCGATGGAGGAAGCCAAGCTTCCTGGCTGGCCATGGCCTCTCTCAAGGAAGTTGGGGATGAGAAGGCCACCAGGGGAGGCAGTTGGGGATGATCAGGCCGGTGGGGGGCATTTGGGTCAGCAGGCTGGTGGCGGGGGGCAGTTAGAGGTGAGCAGGCCAGCAGGCAGAGTGGTTAGGGTTAATCAGGCAGGCAGGCAGGCAGGTGAGTGGCTGGAGCCAGCAGTCCCGGATTTTGAGAGGGATGTCTGACTGCTGGTTTAGGCCCAATACCTGTAAACCAACAATAGGACATCCTTCAAGGGGTTCCAGATTGGAGAGGGTGAAGGCCCGGCTGAGGAACACCCCCCACCATGCACAAATTTCGTGTACAGGACCACTAATAAAAAAAATAAAATAACAATGAAAAAATGTTTTCAAACATTGAAATCCTACCAGATAAAAGGTTCCTGTTCTTTCTCTATACCAAATCACCTTCTTTATCTACTATATTCCTGTCTCATCTCTCCTACTATCCAACATGGCATCTCTAATTCTTAATTTATCAACTCTATTCTCCATGTATTGGTCCATATAATTTGTTTATTCTGGGTTATTCTTTTCACTCCCCATAATGTCATAATTCCCCCTATTCCCAAACAATGAGGTACTTCAACAATCTATCCACCCTAAGAAAACATTTAAATTTCATTTTGAAGATGTCATTCCTAACCAACGACATTCATCATTCTATTACTACCCCATGTCCCCAAAATACACCCATGAAGTTTACCTTGATTCACATATCAGTTCCTTTTTAACACAATAAATATTGTAATAAAAAGGGTAAAATGAAAGAGTAAAATAACTTATTTTAAATGTCAAAAGAAATAAAATTCCATATTTTTATTGTTATAATATAGTAATTTTAATTAAATATAATGAAAAAGAAATTGACATAATTAATGTTATGATACTTTTTAGATCTAGGAAATTATTGTCAGGAAAGCTCTAGTCCTAGATGTATTATTTTGCAAATATTACGCAATTCAAAATCTCTCAGATTCCCCATCTATAAAATGGAGATCATTTCATGAGGCTGTTGTAAAACAAATGAGCTACCATATATGAAAAGTATTTTATAAACTCTAAAGAAAAGAAAAAAAAAGGCTTTTGGTTCCATAAAAGGACTATTTATCCCTGGAGAAACTGCAGCTGTGAGAGTTGACCTCAGCCTTTTAAGACCAAAATAATCTGTCGGGCAATGAGGCAGGCAGGTGAGCTGTTAGGAGCCAGTAGTCCTGGATTGCACGAGGGTTTCTGATTGCTGGTTTGGGCCTGATCCCTATAAATCAGCAGTAGGACATCCTTTGAGGGGTCCCATATTGGAGAGGGTGCAGGCAGAGCTGAAGGACAACTCCCTGCTCCCCCTTGCCCAGTGCACAAATTTCATGCACTGGGCCACTAGTTTATTTATAAGTGTTTTGTAAAAATAGTCAATATTGAATCTACCTTTATTACCTAAAATATACAAAATAAAAATTTTAAAAAGAATAGAATTTAAAAGACTACTGGTTATGACTATAATATTTTTATGACCAAATGATATATACTTTATTGATTCTTGATGGAATATCAAGTGACATATGTAACAATAAAACAATAGAGTTTAGCCTACTAAACATCAACTCTATAAATAAGCTAAATCACTGGTCTAAAATGAGAAGACAAGTCATAGTATTTCAACATTCATATTATTATAAAGCTATCTTTACATGATACTTTTGGGAATGTATCAAAATATTTTAAATACTTAAAATAAATATATATTGTGTATCAAGGATTGAAGTTTGACTTGTATTTTCTTGATGCAATTAAATTCACTAAACTCTTGGGGTGAATGACCATTAAAGTTTAGAACATATAGTAATTTGCCATTTGGTCAGATTGTGGATTTGATTTGCACATAATGAGAGAGTAGAGTGTAAGAATAAGATAATTAGCAAGTTAGAGACCCTAAACAATTACCTAGCATTAGTGTATAATTACAAAGTCCTCAGGAAGTGATAATAACATCATTTCTGAAAAACAAAAAAACAAACAAAAACAACAACAACAACAAAAACTCATTAAGTGAGCCTAACGCAAAGTAGAAAACACAATTAACTTGTGTTGTATGGTTATGGAGAGAAAACACATGACCCTCAATAGAAAATAGACTCTAAAAATAAAAAGCCAATGGAAAAGAAGATGTAAAACTGTTTCTCTTTGCAGAAGACATGACTATGTAAAAATTTTAAGGAATATACAATAGAATACATAGAATTAAGAAGTCAGTTCAGCAAGATTTCAGGATATAAGATCAACACTTGTAAAATAATTGTATTTATAAATACCAATTACAAACATGTGAAATCCAAAAATCAAAAAAGCAATACCTACTCAAAACTGCAATGCTCCAAATGAAATTAAATACTTAGACATACTACTAATAATACATGTACCAGAATGGTATACCGAAATCTATACAATTCTGTGCAAAGAAATCAAAGATAACCTCTGTAAATGAAGAGATACACCTGTTGATGGAACTGAAGACAAAACAAAAAAGATGTCAATTCTCCCCAAGTTGATCTATAGTTTTAATGCAATTCCTATCAAAATTCCAGCAACATTTTTTAGACAAACTTGTTTAAATACTTATAGGGAAAGATAAGAATTCTAGAATAGCTATAACAATGTTGACAAAGAAAAATGAATTTGGCCAGTTTGCTCAGTGGTTAGAGTGTTAGCCTGTGGACCCAAGGTTCTCAGGTTCCATTCCAGGTCAAGGACACATACATCATTTGCAGGTTCAATCCTAGGCCTGGTCAGTGTGCATGCAGGAAGCAACCAACTGATGTGTCTCTCTCATATCCATATTTCTCTCTTTCTCTGTCTCCCTCCTTTCCATGCTCTCTAAAAATCAACTGAAAAAAATATTCTCAGATGAGGATTAAAAAAAAAAGAATACATTTGGAGGAATCATTCTACCTGGTATTCTGTCCTAATATTTGGCTGTAGTAATCAAGACAGTGTAGTACTAACCTTGAAAAGCTTCAACTGATGATTTTTTACTATGAAGATGCAAAAGCAATATGCATTCAATAGAAACTATATTGCAAATTTTGAATTTTTATATTTTCCCAGGCAAGCAACATCAATATAATACTCTCTTGTGATGCTAGGCAGTGGTGTCAAACCACTGCTCCTAGTTAGTCAAATGATCACGTAGCTAAATAAATGATACTCTATAGTACACTATGTTGCCAGCAAATTTTGGATATTGTGTTCTGAGCAAATTTATGATGTTAAGTGCATTAGGTGTGTTAAATGTATTTTCAACTTACAATGTTTTCAATTTATGACACGTTTATCAGAATATAACCCCATCATAATTCGAAAAGCACCTGTACATATCAATAGAACAGAATAGAGAATCCAGAAACAAACCCATTCAAGTATAGCAACTGATTTTTGACAAAGATGCATAAGGAATTCAATGAAGGAAAAATAGCCTGTTCAATGAATGATCCTGAAGCAATTGCATATCCTTACATTAAAATAATAAACACTGTCCTGGCCAGATGGTTCAACTAGTTGCAGAGTTTTCTGTACACCAAACAGTTACCGGTTCAATTCTGGTCAGGGCACATATTTAAGTTGCAGATTCTATCCCCAGTCAGGGCACAAATCAGAGGTTAAACTATAATGGGATGTTACACTACACATCTATCAAAATGGCTAAATAAAAAAGTGACAATACATGCCTTACCCTGTTTGGCTCAGTGGATAGAGTATCAGCTTGTGGACTGAAGGGTCCCAGGTTCGATTATGGTCAAGAGCATGTACCTTGGTTGCGGGCCCATCCCCAGTGGGAAGTATGCAGGAGGCAGCTGATGGATATTTTTCTCTCATCGATGTTTCTGGCTCTCTCTCTCTCTCTCTCTCTCTCTCTCTCTCTCTCTCTCTCTCTCTTCCTCTCTGTAAAAAAATCAATGAAATACAATATATATTTTTTCAAAAGTGACAACACCAAATACTGGTGAACATGTGAAGAAACTGAATCATTCATATTTTTTCTAGTGGAAATGTAAAATGGTACAGATCCTTTGGAAAACAGTTTCACAGTTTCTTTTAATACTAAACATGCAATTATCATATGACCCCGCAATTATACACTTGGCCACTTATCCCAGAGAAATAAGAACTTACGTTCACATAAAATCCTGTAAACAAATGTGCATGGCAGCTTTATGTGTAACAGACAAAATTGGAAACAGCCTAGATGTTATTCAATGGGTAAATGTTTAAACAAACCGGTACACCCATACCAGAGAATACCACCCAGCAATAATAAGGAACAAATTATTGATGCAAAAAACAACATGGATGAATTTCCAGATAACTATGCTGAGTGAAAAATGCCAATGAAAAAAGTCTACATGCTGTACAGTTCCATTTGCATCCTCAAAACGGGGGGGAAAATGCCAAAACCGGTTTGGCTCAGTGGTAGAGCGTCAGTCTGCTGACTGAAAGGTCCCAGGTTCTATTCCGGTCAAGGGCATGTACATTGGTTGCGGGCACATCCCTGGTAGGGGGTGTGCAAGAGGCAGCTCGTCGATGTTTCTCTCTCATCAACATTTCTAGCTCTCTATCCCTCTCCCTTCCTCTCTGTAAAAAAATCAATAAAATATATTAAAAAGAAAAAGAGGGGGGAATATAGAGCTGGAAAACCGATTAGTGGTTGCCAGGAGTTAGAGATTGGGAGAAAGGTAGGAAGGAGATGAGGTGTGGTTATCAAATGGCAACAGGAGGGATCTTTGTGGTAATGGAACTGTTCTGTTCTGTAAGTTGACTGTATGATGGGTACATGGACCAACATATGTGTTAAAATTATATAAAATTACAGACACACAGATACACATACCCTATGTCTACAAAATTAAGATTAACATCAATAACACATATTAAAAACAACCGTAACAACAACAAAAAAACCAGAAACCTATACTACATTTTTCATTACTTACAAAAGTGGATTCACAAAGAGTTTGAGATATAGGTCACAAGAATGTCAAGGATCTACCTACAACATAGTAATAACTTGACTAACTCAAGGAGAAAATAAGGGAATTTCTAGAAAACCAATGCTAATCTCTTAAAATGTTAAAAATTTAATTCTAATCATTTTTATTTATTTTGTTTTTTAAAAATATATTTTATTGACTTTCTACAGAGAGGAAGGGAGAGAGATAGAGAGTTAGAAACATCAATGAGAGAGAGTCATCGATCAGCTGCCTCCTGCACACCCCCTACTGGGGATATGCCCGCAACCAAGGTACATGCCCTTGACCGAAATGGAACCCGGGAGACCCTTCAGTCCCCAAGCCGACGCTCTATCCATTGAGCCAAACCGGCCTTGGCTAATTCTAATCATTTTTAATACTCATCTTTCTAAAATGTGTTTAAAATGTCCCTACATTTGCAAGTGAAAGAGAACATAATTCAACTTTTACCTAAAAATAATGTGATATAATTATGACCATCCATTGTTATACTGTGCTATAATAGAATGATGTCCTTGAGGGATTCTCTAGTACACATGTGTCAAACACAAGGCCCGCGGGCCAAATCCGTCCCGCCAGGCCTTGCAATGTGGCCCGCACCGCCTGTCATCACTGCACTCCGCTGCGTTTCCATCACAATGACAGTTTATGACTGTTCAGTAAACCATTCGGCCCGCGATTTAGGCTGGATTTTAGATTTTGGCCCCTTCTCTGATTGAGTTCGACACCCCTACTCTAGTATGAAAGCCATTTGCCCTTACACTAAAAGGCCAAAGCTTGCTCTCCACTTGCTGATGCGGTTTACTCTTTCTCTCTTAGCCTCTCAACTAGCACCTAAAATAACAGCATGTTAAAGCCTACAGAGACCTTTGTAATCAACTAGTCCAAACCCTTTATGTTTTTTTTTTCTTCTTCTTTAAAAAAAATATATATATTTTATTGATTTTTTACAGAGAGGAAGAGAGAGGGATGGAGAGTTAGAAACATCGATGAGAGAGAGACATGGATCAGCTGCCTCTTGCACACCCCCTACTGGGGATGTGCCCGCAACCAAGGTACATGCTCTTGACCGGAATCGAATCAGGGATCTTCCAGTCTGTAGGCCAATGCTCTATCCACTGAGCCAAATCGGTTTCGGCCCAAATCCTTTATGTTTTCTAATAATAAAACAGGTCCTGAGAGGAGGTATCTTTCACTCAATATCGCATAACATGCTGAATGGTAAAGGCAGGACTATTTCCTGGGTCTTGGTGTGGTTCTCAGTATGCTTGCCTCTAAGCAGACCTCCCTTTCCCATTTTATGCTTTAAACTACTATGATAGGGAGGGGGGAAAAATCCGAAAATAAAGTTGTCAGAAATATGTATTAAATAAAAGGCTATTGATTTAAGTCAGTTAGTCCTCATATAAAGTAAATCTTTGTGAAATCTATTCTGCCATAGCCCCTTTCACATGATTTCATGTTTATGGCCATGATCCAAAGGTTAAGGATACCACAGTCTGGCTGGGGCTAAATGAGATATTGTTATTCCTGTTTACCCATGTTTGTAGTACTATCTATAGAGAAGTGGATTTTCTGTATATTCCTCCACTGGATGCTCTCAGGGCTATTTCTGCTTAATATGATATTAATAACCATTTACCTTTTCCAAGTAAATAAAGATATATAGAACACTATCCCAATTTACCTCTTATTTCACATTATCCCAATTAACATCTTGTTCCACCCTCTAACGGGCAATGCAAGAAACATATAGCAGAGTTCTACTTCTCTGGTGAAAAACAAACTTTCTACCCCCAATCTTTTATTTTATCACTTTAAGAAGTCACAAAAATAAAACTGAAGAAATCAGAAATTGAAAACAAGATAATTTTCTCTGCACTCAAAATGTGTCAGTTCAGCTGAAATCGGTTTGGCTCAGTGGTAGAGTGTCGGTCTGCGGACTGAAAGGTCCCGGGTTCGATTCCAGTCAGGGGCATGTACTTTGGTTGCTGGCACCGTCCCCAGTAGGGGGTGTGCAAGAGGCAGCTGGTCGATGTTTCTCTCTCATCGATGTTTCTAGCTCTCTGTCTCTCTCCCTTCCTCTCTGTAAAAATCAATAAAATATATTTTTTAAAAATGTGTCAGTTCAGTCGTTAGAAACTATAAACCTAAATTGTCATAGAGATAAATCAAATGCCCTAAAATATAAAAAAAATTATCTCTCATTATGACTGTCACTATATTCTAATCAAGTAGTATTCATGGATACACTAGAAAGTTATCAAATAATTTATTCCTGGTTTTACCAAAGCATATGACTTTTCAGTTGAGATCACCTTTAGTTTTAAATCTGTCTACTACAGCTCTAAACAACATCAGAGATTTATGCCTTTTCATATAAAATGCCATTTTGCTTTATATAAATTACAATCTATATCTGGCATTTAAAAACTGTATTTTTTTGAAGAAAATCATAGAAAAATACCTGTGTTTATGGGAGAAAATGCTAGTTTTTCTGAAAGTTATGAATATAAATTAAGAAATAAACAAGTTCCCAAAGTTTTCAGCATGACAGAGCATATCCTAAAGAATCTGTAGTGTCTTGAATTTTAAGCTTTAATTACTATAAAAGTGTCAGCAGTGTGATATAAACAACTCAACTCTATAACTATTTAAATGATTGCACTATGTAATTGCTATCTTTCAACCTATCAAATGTCCCTTGAGGAAATAAACTTTTACAAATGTTTTAAAACAATGCATTCTGTCCTGATTTACCGTATGTCCCCAAATGTTATGACCACTAAATTTAATTTTTTTAATTCAAAATTGTAATTTCTCATTGTGCTACACTAAATATTACCTAAGAAGAGTGGTGTTCATTTTCCATTTTGCTACTTTGGATATTATCTAAAAAGAATTAAAAGGACAATGGACTACAATTTAAAAAT